TTATCTGTTTTGTCCATCAGATTATAAATTATACAATTAGATCATCTTTTTCTCTCTGGTTTTGATTTTGATTGTGTGTGTGTGTGTGTGTGTGTGTGTGTGTGTGTTTGTGTTTGTGTTTCAGTGACTGATGCATGTGCCGTTCCAGGGAAGTCAGCTTCTGCTGTTCTTCAATTTATGAAATACAGAGAACTAAAAGAAACTGAAAGAAAAACATTTTCAAAAAATAAAAAGATATCAGATAAACCAGTAAAGGTAAGCTTAATATTTGTTGAAGTTAATGAAGTTGTCAGACAGAACAGTATTATCATTTGTGTTCCATCTTATCTAAACGATGATCTAGATTTCTGTTGGGATCATGAACAAGACCAAGAATGGCTTGAGGCCCATGAGAGGAAAAAACCTACCTGTACATGTTGACCCCCAGTGGTCATCTGAGCAACTTTTAGCAGCAGCTTTGAAAAAACAAAAAGATTTCAATCAAGATATGGAAGATGGAGAATATGTCTTGCTTTATCCAGATGGCTCTCAAATAAAAAATATCCCTGGGACCGACACACCTTTTACTATTGGAAAATACAAAGAGGCCATTGGAAAGGCCTATCAGAGGATCACACTGTACATTTGTACCCTTGAGGATCTGTTGTCAAAGAGTGAGTATTGAAATAGTATTTTTTTAATATATATTTTATGTACATTTAAACTAAAAACTCAGTACTTGTTCTTATGAGTACTTTAAGTGCTTTGTGGGATTCCAACTAGTTACAGCCTACATATTTAATGATACTGGACATGTAATTGGAAATAGAGATTGATCATAAAATCTTTTTGTGAGGTCAAGATGATTCAGTTTCAGAAGAAGATGAAGTCGTTATTAGGGCACAACCCAATATGTCACCTCTTTCTGACACAGTGGTAGGTGCCTCTCAGGAATTGAGGTGTTCAGCATTTCCATGTTTACAGTACAGCTATAATGCAATAAATTTCAACCAGTAGAAATAGAAAAGCATATACTCATACTTTGAATGACTTTAGGGTTTTATGTTTACACTTGACAGCTTTGGTCAAGTCCTGAAAGCAGTACACCAGAGCGTAGACATGGGTAAGTTAAATTTCTGCTGATATTTTTTTGTCTCTGTGCCAGATGAATGTCAGTATGCATTCATTTTTAAAACTGCTATATAGAAAGCCATTTATGTTATTTATAACACAGTGACAATTTCTATACAACATCTGCGCCATCAGCATCCCAGTCATCTAATGGGCAAGTATGTCATATTCTATAACATAATACACCAGAATTTGTTTATTTTCTGGGTATTTCTGTGATTATTATTCTAATTTCTTATTGTGTTGTGTGGTGGTGTTGGTGCTACATGCCGAGAGTGCAGAAATTGCCAAACAGACGGCCACTACAGTGGGTGAAATCAAGTCAAATGACTTCTACAGGTCAGTCATAAGACATAATTTTCCACTGGATTTTAAATAAAACTATTGGACTAAAGTACTAGACTACAGCAAAAATAACAAAACATCTGTTTCAGAATACTTTCTGGATTAACTGTGTTATTGTTGTTCTTGTACTTCCCTTCCACAGTGCATATACCCATATCTATGCCCCTATCACCATTGACAGCAGTTCTTCAGATCTTGAGGAAGTAGAGAAACTGCCAGAGAAAGACAGGTAGTGTCACATGACAAATACTACTTGACCAAAAGAATGTGATTTTGTGGGAGGACTCAAAATCTATTACTAAAGTTGTCATGGCCAAATGACGCTTATTATTTTTCAGCAGTGTTGTATAGCTTACTCATTTTAAAGGGCCCTAAAATACTAAAAACCTAAAAAAACACAGTTTAAATAACCCACAATAATAAGAAGTAGTACTGTTAATATTTACTTTCTGTTTGTGGACTGTTTTTTTAATTATTATTTTTATTTTACAGTGATGGACATGATGGGCTGACAGCTGCAGACATAGTGTCAAATCTGGCACATAATCTTAACAAAACATCATGTAGCAGATTTAACATTAACCGGGCGAATGTCTGGGATGGTGGCTTCAGAGGTTTCAGGCGATCCTCATTTGATCCCACCTGCAGCATGATGGTGAAATTCACAGATGATGCTGGGCTGACGGAAGAGGCTTTGGACAGCGGGGGGCCTACTCGAGAATTTCTGACTCTGTTGATGGACAGCATCAAAACAAGGAGAGTATTTGAAGGCAAAGACAATGCCAAATACCTCTCATTTGATAGTAAAGGTAATACTTTTTGTGATTGTTTTTCCAATGTTGTAAATCAGTGTGTCCTAACATTGGAATATTGGCATTTTTAGCTGCAGAAGACAATGAGTATTTCCACATTGGAAGAATGATTGCCGTGTCCATTGTCCATGGCGGTCCAGGGCCTCGTTGTCTTTCCCCAAACCTCTTCCTTTACCTAATTGGTAAAGTAAAAACACTTGAGGCCCCAATTGAGGACATACCTGATGATGAGGTCAAAAGGGGCCTTCTTGAGGTAATTTGTTAGGCTGGGATTACAAACAATTTCAAGTAATGACTTTCATCAACTGACACAAAACTGTCCATAGGATTGATGTCTTAATTGCTCTACAAATAGCATGTTTGACAATACCAAGGTCAATTAAATATGCTATGCCAAAAAAAGCCTTTATTCCATGTGCACAGGTACTGGAAGGTAGACCATAAATGATGAATATGCAACATATGTCTAAATATGTACCGTATAGAAATGAGGCACAGTATTTAATTCTTTTGAAAGTGACATTACTCTTCAAATAATCCCATATTCCTTTATATTTATATTATATTATATTGTGTCATAACAAACCATTTTTAAAACAAGTTATGAATAGTCCAAGCCTTACTAATGTGTAAAAATGTAATGTGGCCTGTTAACTAATAATAATGATAATGATTATATTACCCCCCCCCCCAGATAAAGAATGCTACATCACTGAGTAAACTCCAGGAACTGACAGAAAAATACTCCAGCATGCTTCAGACAGCAGGCTGCTATCGATTCATGAAGACTCTGGAGGACAAGAAGAAAGTAGTAGATGATTACATTCAGTGGTATTTCATCTACCGAAACCATGTTTCCATCCAAAGGTATAATATTCTACTTCTTCTGTGAACAAAACTTTTAATACAATGTTAAATAGTTATTTTGTATTTTGTCATGATTACTTTAATAATATCAATAGTTTTTTATACTAATAAAGGCTAAACATTGTGGCTGAAGTAGTGTCACCTCATTTCTTGTCAAAATGGAAAATCTGTTGATAGTTGTTCACATAACCCCCTTGTAGTAACTTTTTGACATGGCACTTTTTGTAGGTTCAAAGAGGGATTGGCAACACTTGATTTTGTCAATGCCTTGGAACAGCATCCTTCACTCTTCTTCTCATTCATGTGCTACACTGAGACCAAGCTGACAGCTGATGCTGTGGAGAACATCTTCCATGTGCAGTTCAGTCAGCCTGGTAGCACCAACCGTCAGGAGGAGGCCAGAGTACTGAGCTACTGGCGAGATTATCTGCTCTACCTGGAAGGTATTATCTATGGTTAAAATCATAAGAAATGTGCCAAATTATCACAGCAGCAAATAGTGAGATAAAAAGTAGAATTTTTCATCAGTTCAAGGAACCTTAAATGAGCATTATAAACAAAGGGATTAATCCACGATTGCATACTGTGCGGTCCATAAGAATTTAAACAAGGTTCCATTTTGCTACATGTGGTTTAGAAGAAATGACAAACCACCTCCATACTACAAATAATAAATAACCACTGTGCTCAAGGAAAGGAAAGGAGGAAAGGAAAGGAAGGGATGTGTGGTCAAGTGTGGTGACACATACTTGGAATTTGTGCTCTGCATTTAACCCATCCAAGTGCACACACACAGTTGTGAACATACACCCGGAGGACTGGGCAGTCATATTGCTATCGCTGCGACGCCCAGGGAGCAGTTGGGAGTTCGGTGCCTTGCTCAAGGGACTCGCCTCAACCATGGTATTGAGGGTGGAGAAAGCACTGTAGATTCACTTCCCCCACCTACAATCCCTGCCGGACCTGAGACTCAAACCAGCAACCTTTGAGTTACAAGTCTCTAACCATTAAGCCACGGCTGCCCCCAAAGCATTATAGCTGCTAGGTGATGACTACAGTAATTTGAATGTAGCAACATTTGAAGGCAAAGACGATGCCAAAGAAAGAAAGAATGGCTACAATTTATTAAAAAAAAGAAAGAAAGAAAACCATAATGTCTAACATTTTTATTTTGTTCCACCAGAAAAAGAGGCAAGTCCTTCTTTGGAAGGTGTCCTTATGTTTGGAACTGGGCTGAAGGAAGTTCCTCCTGCAGCAATACAGCCACAGCCACAGTTAGTTTTTCAGAAGAGTGCACGCTTTCCCATGGCAAATGTATGTACAAATACAATAAAAATTCCAATTTTATCCAGGTATGAAGACTTTCAAGAAGCCATGGATTATGGCATGCAAAACTCCCCTGGGTTTGGGCTTCCTTAAAGCTAAACATCTTTGGCTGATATAACAGGGTTTAGGTCAGAGTTAAGTTTTATTGAAATGCAAATGTGCCAATTTGTTCTTTCCTCTTTTGAAATGCAGGCATTTTATGTTATACCTTTGTTATAGTTAAACATTTAAAGCCACAATAGTTTTGATTATACTAATATATAATCAATTGTGAGATTTGAGAAACAATATAGGTTTTTAGTACAGAAATGTATGGCATGTTCTTTGCACAAAACTTATTTGTTATACACAGTTTCAATCATTGATGTTCAGTAAAACACTGATGACATATGCAGTGAGCAAATAAAGTTGTTCTCTAAACTGATCATGTATTGGTTTCCCTCTGTCCCACTTGAAGAAATATTCCCGGGTCTTGGGTTTTGATGACTTTATTGCCAGAGACAAGGTAGAGAGAACTCTACAGAGCAATCTGTGGAGTCTTTGTTCGCACCCTCTTTTATACAGTTTTCCTCAAGGCATGTTCTATACATTTCACACATAGGTTTAGAATAGTGGTAGAATAACTAGATACATAAATGGCTCGATTCACCTTGATTATACTTGATTCATTGACATACTGACTAATAAAAATCTTCAACAATCATTTTAAAGTCCAGACATATTTTTGAGTGTTATGTAATTCTCAACAGCAGTTATCCAGTTGACTGGTGAAAAAAGCCCACTCTGTCTCTGTAAGTCCGTAAATTGACCTTGGAGATTACCATCGCCACAAAGACTGCGCTGTGGTGGCAGAATGTCCTCAAACTCTTGAATAACTTGTTGACACTGGGAATCCACAATCCCTTGCATCAAACCTAAGGCCAGTCAGAAATCAAAACATAAGTAAACTCATTACAAAAATGTGTAATAAAAACTATAAATCCTAAAATGAAAAAATTATAACCCAATTTTTAAATAGTCTTGAATTTTAAGACAAATAAGCCAAAGGTTGACTCTTAATGTTGAGAACATCTGTTGTCAAATATGGTTCTCACATTTGCTTCTACTACAAACACACTTTGTGAACCAGAAGTTTCCACCTTTTTGCTTCATGCATTGTACGTTTTTGTCTAAGAGTGTCTGAATTATTTTTAAAATA